GGAAATAAAACTATCATTAAGACTACATTTTTTTTATTTGGTGGTTGAATGCATTCTTATAAAGTTTTTTGCAGACTTAGTTGAAACCTGCAGCGGGTCTACACAAGTTCTTGCAACCTTGTGAGAAGTCCAGCCATATTTTGAAGGCTCCATCAATCTGCAAATTAGAATTTAAAATTAAATCTTTTGACACTATTGGAAAAAAGAACTTGTATATACAGTTTTTATAAATCAATTTGTCGTGACGTTGCGTGTGCATTATGATACGAACCAAAACCCACACACCCCTACACATTTTCTCTATGCACGAGAAACGCCTAGCTTGCCAAAGGGGAAAAGCTGGAGCTGGTGTGCAATATGCCATTTAAGACTTAAATCATACAATACTTGCCTCATCTTAACTGCCATTTCAGCTAAGAAAATTTAAAGGTTTAGCTGCCCCCTGAAAAATAATGAAGTCAAATTAGTAAACAGTAACTAATTCTATAACCAATACTATATTGGGTTGTCAGTAATAAATGTAAGTCTTCAAGTTTATACATCAGAAGTCCAACATGTATGCAAAACATCATGTAAAATGTATCAAGTATAACCACAATAGATTTAGACTAGAAATTTATAATCTAAATTTTAGATTTAGAAATTTAAATTCAGGCTTGCACCTTACCTTGTAAACCATGTGCCCAGCTCAAACTCTTCAGTTTGACTTTAAGGAAAGTCACAAGAACACATGGCAAGCTGCCAACCTGAAATTACAGTACAAAATTTAATACAAGTTCTACAACTTCCAGTTATGGTTATTGCTCCAGAAACAGTGTCTCCTGCTATGAAACTGGCATGGCAAAGGAACCTTATGCCAGGGATTAACACAGGAATTACTCTGGCCAGAAAGATGATTAGATGTGTAGGATTGTCCTACCACCTTGCCCAGACTGGCTAGTCTTACTATAGAATGAATGCACGTTAAACTAATTCAGTCACCCTCTGAAAAACGAGAGAATTTAAGCCCTCTTAATATAGTTGATTACGAAGTTTACTATTCGTAGTATCTATTATGCTCAACCAAATTATAAGAATATTAATATGCCTTACCTTGCAAGGTTCAAGTGCCATGCATCTTGTCTACTCCTCTGTAGGGGGGGGGGGGGTGTACCATGCTATCTTGGCGACCTTAACCCTGAAACAAAAATCACTCAGTTTACTACCAATCCTCAAAGTTCTACAGTTGAAAAAGTAAGTGCTTTAGAAGTTTGTCTCCTGCTATGAAACTGGCATGGCAAAGGAACCTTATGCCAGGGATTAACACAGGAATTACTCTGGCCAGAAAGATGATTAGATGTGTAGGATTGTCCTACCACCTTGCCCAGACTGGCTAGTCTTACTACAGAATGAATGCACATTAAACTAATTCAGTCACCCTCTGAAATAACGAGAGAATTTAAGCCCTCTTAATATAGTCGATTACCAAGTACTATTCATAGTATCTATTATGCTCAACCAAATTATAAGAATGTTAATATGCCTTACCTTGCAAGGTGCCATGCATCTTGTCTACTCCTCTGTGTGTGAGGGGTGGGGGGTACCAGGTTATCTTGGCGACCTTAACCCTGAAACAAAAATCACTCCGTTTACTACCAATCCTCAAAGTTATATAGTTGAAAAAGTAAGTGCTTTAGAAGTTTGTCTCCTGCTATGAAACTGGCATGGCAAAGGAACCTTATGCCAGGGATTAACACAGGAATTACTCTGGCCAGAAAGATGATTAGATGTGTAGGATTATCCTACCACCTTGCCCAGACTGGCTAGTCTTACTATAGAATGAATGCACGTTAAACTAATTCTTCAGTCACCCTCTGAAAAAACGAGAGAATTTAAGCCCTCTTAATATAGTTGATTACGAAGTTTACTATTCGTAGTATCTATTATGCTCAACCAAATTATAAGAATATTAATATGCCTTACCTTGCAAGGTTCAAGTGCCATGCATCTTGTCTACTCCTCTGTAGGGGGGGGGGGGGGTGTACCATGCTATCTTGGCGACCTTAACCCTGAAACAAAAATCACTCAGTTACTACCAATCCTCAAAGTTCTACAGTTGAAAAAGTAAGTGCTTTAGAAGTTTGTCTCCTGCTATGAAACTGGCATGGCAAAGGAACCTTATGCCAGGGATTAACACAGGAATTACTCTGGCCAGAAAGATGATTAGATGTGTAGGATTGTCCTACCACCTTGCCCAGACTGGCTAGTCTTACTATAGAATGAATGCACGTTAAACTAATTCTTCAGTCACCCTCTGAAAAAACGAGAGAATTTAAGCCCTCTTAATATAGTTGATTACGAAGTTTACTATTCGTAGTATCTATTATGCTCAACCAAATTATAAGAATATTAATATGCCTTACCTTGCAAGGTTCAAGTGCCATGCATCTTGTCTACTCCTCTGTAGGGGGGGGGGGGGTGTACCATGCTATCTTGGCGACCTTAACCCTGAAACAAAAATCACTCAGTTTACTACCAATCCTCAAAGTTCTACAGTTGAAAAAGTAAGTGCTTTAGAAGTTTGTCTCCTGCTATGAAACTGGCATGGCAAACGAACCTTATGCCAGGGATTAACACAGGAATTACTCTGGCCAGAAAGATGATTAGATGTGTAGGATTATCCTACCACCTTGCCCAGACTGGCATACATTCATAAATAACAAAATTAACCAAAAGCCAACTTTTAGACATTCAAATAATTCCATCACTACATAGTACTGAATGCCAATAAGCTTACCTTTCATGTCATGTAATCCAAACATTAGTTTTTGGAACTCTTGGCATTAGCTTCATTCAAGATTCCACCAAGCTGAAATATTAAAGATTTCATTAAACATTTTACAATACAATCAAATTTAGATTATACCATGGGACTAGAAACCTGGTAACAAATCCTGGTTATAATCTATTTATCAAAACCCATGAAAATATTACAAAGAAAAACGGGGGGACCCCTAATATATACAAGTTAAAAATACTAGTAAATTCCATCTATAAGAGAACATCACATCACTGGTAGTTTAAGAGCAGCTGTCTCCATAATCCGTGATTAGTAAAGAGCGCAAGCCCTTAACCAATGAGAGAGATTGGAGTTTCATCTAGCCAATTTTATAATAAAAGATACTTAGGATCGACCTGAGCATCTTAGACCGAAACTGGCATATCACTGGAAGCCAAAATGCTCCTTACCTCAAGATGTTCCCTTCCATTCTAAATGCCGTCCATGTCCTTTTAAGGGACATGTCCCTTTCAAAGCAGTTGAGCAATCCATGGTCTTTGATGTGCACTCCAGGTGGACACCAAGTCCACTGTGGCTTTTTCCAGTTTGTACTTTTTGCACACTTTAGGAGGAACAAACCTGTAAAAGAGGAAAATTTCTCTTATGAACTTTAAAAGTTTCAGTAGTCTTTCTAGAAATCTAATTTCTAGTACAATGCACAGTAATTACTTAAACTTAGGAAGATAACCCCAAATGATTACAAATTACTACAAACTACTATCAAGTTAAACCAGCAAGAACTTGGGTATGCATGAAATAGAAATGGGATATGGATATCAATTTGTATTTCCTATACTATCAATACAGTTAATCTAATGTTAACATTCCATTCTTGCAAACCATGCACTCAGTCTCATGGCTGGGAGAATATATAGGCCAGGTTATACACAAGAAAAGGCAAGAAACTTTAAAAACAACTACTTGAGTAATAACTACATCTTCGCTATTCACTTCACGTTAAAACTAGGTATTATTTGCACGCGCTTCAAACTACATCGTCTAAAACCTTTTAGAATTCTAAAATTTCTATTTCCTTCCAGATGAGCTGTGTAATGGTCATCCGTATTTACTTCCAAGTGATTAGGCACGAAATTTATTCACATAACATTGTTTTATAAACAAATCTAATGAATATGAAACTAATAACCTTAATCTACAACAGACACCGAAAAAAAAGTATGTCTGGCCTCCCTGTCACGTCCACGTGGGAGAAGTCACACAACCGGTTATTTTCCCCACGTCAAAATTCCCCTACAAATGCTTAAAATAGACACTCCCGTTACTATTCCCACTAAACCAAGCTTTATATTCACAAAACACAAATACCAACCACTTTAACCTTCAAGCTTTTCAACACTACAAAATTTCAAATGTCCAACGGAGAAGACCGGCTTTGCTTACCTCTCAAGTGTGAGGCTCGGAGGAGAAGGACGCAGCTGGGGTCGTGCGGTCTGTCGTTGCCTGCTGGGACGGAGCCGATGGTTCTCTTCGGGGTGGGGGGGTGTATGTGTATATACTCCTATACGTGTATGTAGGTATATGTATATGTATATGTGTATGTAAATACACATACTTATATATATATATATATATATATATATATATATATATATATATATATATATATATATATATATATGTGTGTGTGTGTGTGTGTGTGTGTGTGTGTGTGTGTGTGTGTGTGTGTGTGTGTGTGTGTGTGTGTGTGTCTATTATACACACACACACACACATGTTTATTTATAATACATACACACACATATATGTGTGTGTATATATATATATATATATATATATATATATATATATATATATATATATATATATATATATATGTATACATACATATGTGTATACATATATGTGTGTGTGTGTATATATATATATATATATATATATATATATATATATATATATATATATATATATATACACATATATGTGTGTGTATGTATTATAAATAAACACACACAAACACATATATATGAATATACATATATACATATATATGTATACATATATACATATATACATACATACATACATATATATATATATATATATATATATATATATATATATATATATATATATATATATATATATATATGTGTGTGTGTGTGTGTGTGTGTGTGTGTGTGTGTGTGTGTGTGTGTGTGTGTATGTGTATGTATATGTGTATATATATATATGTATATATATATATATATATATATATATATATATATATATATATATATATATATATATATATATATATATATATATATATATATATATATATTTTTTTTTTTTTCTTTTTCACACGTGCACATGCACACACACACATACACACACATATTAAGTTAATCACTTAAAACACAAAAATTCCTTGTTGTGTCTGTTTCATTTTATTAGTAGATATAATCACGGTGTAGTCTTTATCCAACACTTAGGTATACTGTTAAATCTAATAAAATCAGTTGGACTAATAGTAGTAGATATATACATTTTATTAGTAGATATAATCATGGTGTAGTTTTTATCCAACTCATAGTTATACTGTTAAATCTAATAAAATCAATTGGACTAATGACAAAGAAGGTGCATTGTTACATCTACCTTTTGTTTATCACCATCAGAGTGTCTCTTAGTAAGTTGCCCATCTCACCTTCCTGACAATAGGTTTGGTTGATTTGTCTAAGTGATAACCTTGAAGGTCAGCTCCTAAACCTCTTCAGGTCAGGATTGTCTCTGGAAGAACCCTGATGGGTGGGATCATCCTTTAGCAAATAACCCAAGTGCCTGAGCTGGTGGTCCCTGATTATATGAATAAAAGGTCTTATGCCAATCTTAATAAGTAATTGTTAACTGGACGCATTGTCATACCATCTTTACCCCATGATCAGATGTAAGTACTATTTACAAATCCAGGTTTGACTGATTTGCAGCAAAACTGGCAATCACTTGTTCATACACACATATTCAACAATTCAACTAAGGTTTATTATTAAGAAATGGTCTTTGACTTCCTCAATAAGATTCCTGATATGCTGTTCTTTGTTCCTCCTCAGCAGAGTCTGATTCCTATACTCCAATTAAACCAAATGGCATGTGCCTTTGGCTTTCAGTGTTTCCTGTGCAATGAATTTCTGTTGAGTTTTTGAGTGGCACCAATAAAATTTTTCCAATAAGCACTACTTTTATCAAACATAAGGATCCAAAAGGTAAATAAATACAAATAAGGATGATAATCAGATAACTTTTTTTTTCTTTTTTAATGAATATTATTACCCCTATAGAATCACACTGAAACAGACAAAACCAAAGATGAACCATATTCATGTTGACAAATATAGAAATGGTATGAATGAGAATGTATATCTTCACAAGACAAGACATATATTTGACTGGTTTCAATTATATCTTCATCAGATATACACCTATTTCTGATGAAGATATAATAAAAACCAGTCAAATACATCTTTTGTATTGTAAAGATATTCATATCTTCTCTACATAAACCAATGAGTATGTCAATGACAGTTTCACAACAAATCACAGAGCATATCTTAGGAAGTGAGGAAGTTATTTTATTAATGATTTTATTGCATGTTTCTTTCAGATACTCTGAACTTTTCATTTTTGAAGCTTAGCACTTCTACAAACAATGCATATTTAAATATATGAAACAGGCACATTCTGTCATTATGTCAGTGATTTTATTTATATTATGAATGATCTCCATTCTGTCACTGCAGCATTTAATTTTTCATAATCCAATAATTAACCCAATACCACTAGGCATGGCATGGATTTACTTTATCAATTGTTTTTACACATACATGGCTACACTTGTACTAAGTCACCAATGAGCCAATTATGAGTACTGCCTGTCTAGCCTGTACTGCCTGTTTACTCTTTTCCTTGATTCATGAAAATATTTTACATTCTTATTTTGCTGTTACTAATGTTAATAACATTACAGTAATTATAATATATAATAAAAATAATACCATCAATATTATAGCATTAGTAAAAAAAATGCTTTTCCCACCAATTCAAGGTAAAATCAAGTATAGTCACAAGGTCTACTAATTGACTCCTTTGTGGCTAAGCACTAGCAGAGCCATCTATGTGCAAAGACATTTCACAAAAAGCACAGCATTTTCCTAGCAGCATTGCGTTAACATTGCAGTTCACTCCTAAAATTCTAGGGGGAAACAAGGATTATATTCACATGTTTCCCATGTCTTAGTTATTTTGCTTAGAACTGCTGCTGAATTAAAAGGGGAGTAAAAGGGAGTAAATAAAAGTGACTTCAATACTTTTATCTCTTGTAATGTTTATAAAAGAATAGACACATGATGAGAGACACTCTGTGGAAGAGGAGAAATAACATATGAAATCATACTTTGGCAGTGAGGTAAAAATGTATATTCTTTCCTATCAGCACACTTTTTTAGATAACCCCCCACATCAGTTGGTATGGGTAATAACACCATGACTTTCTACACAAAATTTATTTAACTATCATAAAACCCTGTTAAATATACAGAAGAGAGACAGAGAGAGAGAAAAAGAGAGAACGAGAAAAAGAGAAAAAGAGAAAAAGAGAAAAAGAGAAAAAGAGAAAAAGAGAAAAAGAGAAAAAGAGAAAAAGAGAAAAAGAGAAAAAGAGAAAAAGAGAAAAAGAGAAAAAGAGAAAAAGAGAAAAAGAGAAAAAGAGAAAAAGAGAAAAAGAGAAAAAGAGAAAAAGAGAAAAAGAGAAAAAGAGAAAAAGAGAAAAAGAGAAAAAGAGAAAAAGAGAAAAAGAGAAAAAGAGAAAAAGAGAGAGAGAAAAAGAAAGAAAGAGCTGCCTCTGCTCTAGATGACTTCTTCCTCTTGCTAGTTTCTGGATCTCTTCCTGCTTCCTATTTCATCTGCCATCAAGCCATCACAGTAGGTACAGGTTGGACTCCCACCTAACAGTGCTGAAAATATCAGAAAGTTTATGTGAAAATCCTTTCTGTGAGTTTATTTACTGAAGGAAGATGGACTTAGTAATAATAAGTATAAAATATATAGTAATGATGATTATGACCAGGAAATACAAATACAAATAATAATAATAATAAAAGAATAATAATTTAAAAATAACAATGAAAATGTGGTGATGGTGGTGGTGGCAATGGTAATGATACAAGTAGGGAAAAAAATTAAATATCAGGAAACAAGACAAAAAATCACTGTATCATCTAATACACACAAATTATAGAACTAATCACATATACCCAACAAAACTTGTTTGGCAGAAATATAAGAAAGACTCACCGGTAGCTGCAGAGTGGACAAAAACTTTGCAGCGAGGGCAATGCACTGTTGGTCGGCTTAATAAAAATGTTCGGCAACATCTGGGAAGTGTGTGACCTGTGTGTTATGAAAACAATATATTAATAAATGATATGATTATATGTCCTTAAAAATATATATCTAATGATATAATTACTTTGTTGAATTATAAATATCTTTCAAAGTAGCTAACACCTATAGGTTTACAAAGATTACGTGATATATTTTTTTATTAACAGATAGGAGAATTAGACTATAAATTACCCTTAAATATCTTTACATCTTTTCTTCCCTTTGAGATGTGAAAAAATAAATCTGTGGCAGCGCATTCAAATTGGTATTAGAAATGCCTTTAAGATATTGAACTAATTCTGCTTCCTCATAAAACCCACTGAAAGTTGATTATATTGGAAAAAGATCTTTAGATTTTACACAGACCAATGCAAATAAAATAATATCTAAAACTAAATAAAATATGAAACATGTAAATAAAAACTCCATTGCATTCTGTTAGTGTACTCTAATTTTCAATAAATTTCTCACAAGAACAGGGATGTTGTCAACCAAATTTCTACTGTACTAGACACATAAGTTTCAAAAACATTTTTTTACCTTTTTCACATTTTCCATGAACAAGGGAATCTAGTTTGATGCTTTCTTTGCACACAAGACACTGCTCGTTGCTCACTATGCCAATCTTCTTTTTCACCGACTGACAAAGTAAAGAAAAGAAAAGGGAGAAACACATATTATGTAGACCAGGAGGAGCTGAATGTAAATATAACTATGTATAAAAGCTATTAATCACTGCATCTTCCTTCTAGTCTATGGAATGTAAGCTACAGTGCTGATCATTAATTATTTCTTTTTTTTTTTTACTTATGTGATCATTTTTTCTTTCATACCTTCCTAACATTTTCAACAAATACAAACTTTCTCCTACCTCTGATAGCTCAATATCACTATCATTGTCTTTTCTACCTAGCCATTCACACATTAAAGAAATAGACAGAGCAATGGACGGGTCCCCTGGAATGTCTGTATTAGTAAAATTCGTAAGACAATCTCTTATCCATCCTTCCAGTATTATTGTCTGTAGCTGTTGTTCTAGTTCTTCCTGGAAATAAAAAAAAGTCAATGTCAGCTTACGGAATCATAAATTGTAAATGTTAGGACATTTCACCTTATAAATGAAATTTCTCAATGTCTCCCAGTAATTTTTGACTGAAAATACTATTGAATGCTGCATAACCTTATTGACATCGAACATAAAAAGCAGCAATGCAGTATTTTTTTCCAATAAAGCATATTTTGTAACACTTATTAACAAATCACAAAAGTTAAGATAATATACCTTCACATTCATCTAGCATGACTTTCCTCTCTCAGATTAACTAGCCAAACACATCAAAGGAAATTATTATAATTATCTATTATCATTACTGTATTAACACAAAACGTGATATTCATAGTAAAAATATCTTTAACCAATACAAATAACTGATGATAATAGATATATTACTATCATAATGAACAATGAACAAAGGCTCAAGCATTAAATGCCAATACTTTGCATATCAACAGAACTTGCATAATCCAACACAAGCATTTTTGCACAGACTTCAAAATTACTCAAATGTATTGTGGTGTAGACTGCAAGGTAAGTATGAAACCCCATTAAACTGTGGACCATTAGCACTTCCTGAGTCTCTTCTACAAATCTAGTATTGAACCTTTTACCCTTATGTAATGATTGTAGAATGCATTTAGTGTTAGTATACTCAAATCTGTTTAAAACTGCTTGTTTTTCTAAGCCAACTGACAGTGCTGCAAAGGCAGTGTTGATTTATTCCATCGTACAAAAAGCCTATCTAAAATGACCTCCCACCCCCCACCACAACACACCCACATATATGTATATGCATATGCATGCATGTACATGGGCACACACATGTATATGCACACACACACATACATATAAATTGAAAATACATACCAAATGTTCTATAGGCTTTATGTCGCTGACTCTAATGTTTCTGCTCATCTTTGCCAACCAGTAAAACACTTTTAGTTCATGGAGAGGCCAACCAGTAATTTCTTTAGATGGAAATTTTATTGGTCCTCCTCCCTTGCATGCAGAGAGTCTGTTGATAATAATAGTAACAATAATAATAATAATAATAATAATAATAATAATAATAATAATAATAATAATAATAATAATAATAATAATAATAATAATAATATTATTAACAACAACAATATAATAATAAGAAAAAAGGAGATTATTTCATAAATCTCCTTGTCTCTTGAAAACGAGAAAAACTTTTTTTTTGGTATTATTGTATTATTGTATTATTGTATTTTGTATTATTTTTTGCATATTTATTAATAGTACCATTGTTATCTTAACATTATCAATATTGCTAATGATAAAAGCAACAAAGATAACAAAGTTATTGTGAGGCCACCTATATGCATATCAAAATACTAAAACAAAACCATATGATAAAATACATTATATATATATATATATATATATATATATATATATATATATATATATATATATATATATATATATATATATATATATATATATATTTGTGTGTGTGTGTGTGTGTGTGTGTGTATGTGAATCTCAAGGCTTAAAACTTCCAAAAGAAATTTTATATATAAAAAAAAAAAATAGAAAAAAAAAACAACGATTCAAGGTTCTTAAAGGAACAGTTACTACACTAACCTGAGACTTTCAAGAAGGTCTGCATGACTATGAAGAGGAACAGGATTTTCCAGCAGGTGACTCATGATTGTTGAAGATTTGCTCACTTGGTAAATGTTGAGCTGTGTGGGTTCTCGCACTACCAGGTGGTCATAGGCAACACTTACTCTTAAAAAGAAAACGTATATCATGAATATATATAGTAGAATAAAACAATCCATATTTAGGCTATATTTCATAAATCTACAAGTAAAAGACAAGAGGCACATTTACAAAACCTTGTGTAACAAAAAAAAAACATTTCTGTGATATTCAACTAGTTCATAGTAGAATCAAATGTTTTCAATTGGCTATGACTCATCTGGTCACATAAGCCATACATAAGATGGTTACATAAGATGTCAAAATCTATTTGTTGCCACAAATATCTCCTGAATGACTGTTAAACATGTGAAATTTGATTTTTAAAAATAGATCAAAACTAACAGTGCAAGAAAATATGTTATGGGGAACAGATTTTCAAACATCTTATATATATGTTTTTGAACTGAAACAAGTATAGAAAGAATTCCAGACATGATACATACACATAAATATGCACACACACACACATACACACACGAACACGCACACACACACATACACATACACACAGCAACATCACTATAGATTCAAAAATAAGGGACTAAGCTTTAATTATAGGGTTCTGAGCCTATTCCAACAAGATTTTTATTTTCAAACCTGTGTCTTTCCATCATGTATTCACGGAGTAACAACCAGGGTCAAGTCTATCAAAATATGATTATTTTTATCAAGGTTTGTTAAATGTATACCTCCCTGTCTGTCTCAAAGAAAATGCATTGACAAACATAATGATCTATTCAAGGGAGCTAATGAATTTCTTTGGGGGAGAGAGGGGGTGGGTTTGGCTAGTATTATCACACAAGAATGCCAATGAGTACTTACGACTCTAGGATACCCCAGAGTGAAGCATTTGGTGACGTCACAAGGCCTGTGAAAGCAACGCCCTCTGATCGAAATGAATTTCCAGTGAGTTCAATGGAGATATTTCTTTCCGGTTCTAACTTGACACAAAGGCGTTGCACCAGACCATCCTTGACTGCGACATATATGTTGCTGTTTTCCAAATACACAACACCTAAAGAAGAGTAGGATGAGATATAATATCTTATTTGAACCATATGCTACATAATTAATGTATTAATATAATAATGTAGAATAATGTACTTAAAAATAATACTATTAAAAGATTCATGTGTATTCATATGAGATTAATTAAAGTAGAGGCATGTAACCGATGGTCTAATCTATGAATCAGCCTAAAATCAGAAAAAGTTCAATTTTACTTATTTTCCTATCTCTTTAGTTTCACCTACTATTTTGCTTTGTTTCTTATATCCCTTTAATGCCAACTTAATTCCCTTCATAACACCTAAGTAAATTCATGTTACCTTAAACAAATAACTACATTATATGTGAAGTACCTGAAATCGCCAACTTTCCAACATGGCAGTGTGCGGTATTGTGAATCTGCAGTTTGTCTTCTGTGAGATCAATTGTTGCTGCAACAAATATATTGTGTTTTCCAAGAAGAAGCAAGTGCTGCTCATTGACAAGATGAACAAGCTGTACATAGTTCACCTGTATTCTGGAAATAAACAAAAGAAAAGTATTATGAATAGGAATTATCTTAATTTACACACACACACACACTCACACACACACACACACACACACACACACACACACACACACACACACACACACACACACACACACACACACAAACACACACACACACACAAACACACACACACACACACACACACACACACACACACACACACACACACACACACACACACACACACACACACACACACACACACACACACACACAAACACACACACACACACACACACACACACACACACACACACACACACACACACACACACACACACACACACACACACCTATAATTCAGTAACTCTGTCATTAACTAATCAAATCTTAATTAACTTTTCCTTACCTGTAATCATCATCAAAGGCAAAACCCAAGTCTCTCAGTAAAATTCCATTGCCATCAATCTTGCAATAAAAGATCTTCACTTGCCCATTACTGTTACCCACCACCAAATAACCTACAAAAGAAAGGAAGACATTGTAGTTAGTTACATGTTAAAAAAATGAATATCTGGCAATGCATTGATACTACACTGAGATATGTATGTGATATATATACATACAGTATATAGATTTATGTGCTTAATAAAAAAAAAAACTTTTAATTACCATTAAATGATGTTCAAGTAACTAAATAAAACAATTAACAATAAACACTTCAAAAAAATAGAAACATAACAAAGAACACTTCTATTATACAGTCCCCTTCATACCCCAAAATCAAGCAACACTAACGTACCACAGCCTTCACAAACAGGACTCCAGCGAAGTGCCGACACAGATTTGACGTTAGCTTCCTTCACCCCAATGATGTGAATGTCCTCTTTGCCGCTGAAACCCGCAGGCACTCTCCAAAATACTATGTGGCCGCTTGCCGTTGTGGTGAGCAAGACACTGAATTTACCTGCATTATCTTCACACAGTGGGGTCCACAGGATTGCTGAAGAGATACATAGTTTACTTTTATGGGGAGCCTAAATGACCATATCTAATGCATATATTTATACATACATACATACATACATACATACATACATATATATATATATATATATATATATATATATATATATATATATATATATATATATATATATATATATATATATATATATATATGTATATATGTATATATGTATATATGTATATATGTATATATGTATATGTATATATGTATATATGTATATATGTATATATATGTATATATATATATGTATATATATATATGTATATATATATATGTATATATATATGTATATGTATATATATATATATATATATATATATATATATATATATATATATATATATATATATATATATATATATATATATATATATATATACATATATATATAAATATATATATATATATTTGTGTGTGTGTGTGTATACATACTTATGTACACACACACACACACACACACACACACACACATGTAATACAAATATACACATACACTCGCAAAACTACACATGTTATCATAATCATAGCAAATACCAGTATCATCACATTGTTACCATTTTATCATTCTCTCCTACCATCAGTATCATCAGCATTAACAACTGCTGTTTCTGCATTATTACCTAATATGGACAACATGCTCATCCTAGCAGTGAACACCTCATGTGACGGACTGGATTTGGGAAGGCTGGTCAAAGCCCAAGAATTGGCCGAGACATGGTTGTACCACTGGCCTGTTATATCCGCTAGCTTGTTCCACTGCCGCCCTTCCTGGCCTACGATCAGCATCTGGTGGTCGTGTGTGACGAGAGCTAGCAAGCATCTGAAATTTTTTTTTCTGCTTTGAGAGCTTCCATTAAAAATGATAATGATAATAATAAAACGCAAATAAATGAACTGAAATGAGTAATACTAAAGATGATAATCCTAATATCGATGAAATTAATAATAATAATCATCATCCTACAATCAAAACCTGGTGGTCGTGTGTGACAAGAGCTAGCAAGCATCTGAAAATATTGTTATTATTTTTCTGTTTTGAGAGCTTCCATTAAAAATGATAATGATAATAATAAAACGCAAATAAATTAACTGTAATGAATAATACTAATGATGATAATCCTAATATTGATGAAATTAATAATAATAATAATAATAATAATAATAATAATAATAATAATAATAATAATAATCATCCTGATCTCACCTACTCTGAACCCCAACCCCATATGGAGACCAAGCACCTCTGTGATATCCTAAGTGATTAGCGATGCCTCCAGGGATGGCAGGAGACAGGTTCCGATTGTTGAGTGGAGACTGTTCACTTTGGGTTCTCTGACCAGCTGACAACACGCCATCGAGCATGATTGCATGACTTGCACTGTGTTCTACCTGTTCTACCATTGGTCTCACTGCTATTCCTGGAAGATGATAAAAGTTAACTGTTAATGAGAGAAAAAAAATAAATTATACTTTTTTTTTTTACACTGTTATTGGTAATGTAGATGGGAAATTAAGTGAGCACTGGGTGATAGAATACAGAGAGCCTTTTAGTTTCCAACATATATTATACTAGTTATTTATAGACATCTATCAACCCATGGTACTATGATTGATATCAAATTTGGCTCAGTCACTCAAAAGAATGGACCTTCCAAATATGAAAAGAAACTTGAACTAAATTGTATGTAACTACAAGCAAATGGTGGTTCCTACCTGTGTTCTGCCATTTGCTTGGTTCTTTTGGCGGTGGGATAAAGGACCGAGTGTAAACTATGCTGGGTGAACATTCCTCTGATGACAGGGACAGCTCCTGGCGAGGGTCAAAATGAGTTGAGTTATGCAAAAATTTAGGTTGTGAGGCTAGGTAAGTGTATGTATATACTCAACCATGTGTTTTAACCTGTGCATTGCATGGCTTTTGGTGCAACCTGGAGCTCATATTATAACTGGTCCCACTAAGTTATCACACATCATATCTTTGTATCATAAATTAATCATATCCTAATATATATATGTGTGTGTGTGTGTGTGTGTGTGTGTGTGTGTGTGTGTGTGTGTGTGTGTGTGTGTGTGTGTGTGCGTGTGTGTGTGTGTGTGTGTGTGTGTGTGTGTGTGTGTGTGTATCATACCCTTTCAAAGATGTCAAGATGTTATAGCTCTTTATATGGAATCTTTGAAATGCTGTTTTTCTCTCTTATAAATGTAATTCACTGGAAAACTTGATAAAGTTTAACATTATAATGGGAAATGCACAATTCAGAGACAGGAATGAAAAAAAAATGGAGAAAAACAATAAAACAATTTGTCTCTTATCAATTTTTTACATGTATCATTACTACTTGGATATCTTTCTTATTCACAAGTTATGGAATCCCATTAATATATTAAACTAAATTTCCTAATTGTACCATGTATGCATGTGTGATAGACAGTTATTTCATTTTTTTTTGTCTCCTGCAAATGTTTTTATTTCATTGCTCTGTGGGCACAATAGCATTTACCATCCTGTAATTTGGAGATCAATAAATTTTGTTCATGTCAACTCTAAAGTACAAAAAATCATAATATTTCCTTTGAAGTTACAGACTCATATAAAAAGATGTCCATACTGTGTGCAGCCCCTGCTGTTTATTATCAAAGTTACACAGTTACTGCCATATGCATTATAAATAAGGCTTGACTTAACAGTAAAAGGATTATAAAACAGTAAGTACATATAGATATATATATTTATTCTCAATTTTTTTCACATTTCCTTCAGCATATAATATATATCCAGCACATCATAAATAGGAAAAAAAACTAAAGGAGTGTAAAATTATAATTAACATTAATATTTACCATTGCATAGGAAACAACACAACTGAATATCTAAAGCAAATGGAATGAAATCCTTCCCAACAGCATATCAAACAACAACAAAAGTAACACTTCCTGTCATGTTACAAGTGAAGCTCCAAAAATCATATGCCACAGGGATTTACAAACATGTCAGCACACTTCAATAAAATGAATGGCAATCCACTGAATGCTTTTTCTCTATGGTCCTTCACCTGTTCAAATTATATGCATCAAGAAAAAGTTCAGCTTCGAAAATAAAACGTAAGACTTGGGATATCAATGCTGTATCAAATATAGAGTAAAATCGAAACAATAACAAAAAAAAACTATTGGGTACTGAGGCTATAAAAATCAAATAAATATAAAGAAGATTTGGAAGAGCTATTTTGTCCATTTCAGATTTCTAATTACTTATATGTGAATCTTCAACCAACAATTATATTCCAGAAACAAGTAGTAAAGCCAGTACTGCATTACTGTGGGCTTTCAAAAAATGTTCTAAACCTAATGGGACTGGTAGAAAAGTTTAAATTTTTTTTCTATGTACAGATCATTGTGTGTAGTTAATGTTTCATGCAAAGAACAGAGATCTAATTCAAAAGCTTCAGAAGTCTATCCTATATCACGTAATTTCTGTATTGGAACTGACTAAATGACAGGCAAACAGGCACTTCAGAAGCACACGTACATGTACACCAAAAAAAAATTGCAAAATATACAACAATCTTATATAAACTGAGATGAGAAGATACTCCATTCCAGAACCTTTGGCATTTTTTGAGAAAACCAAGAATATGAATTTAAAGCTCTTTCATACATTATATTTACCCTGCTAATGTTCCTTTTACAAGAAACATATATAATAATTTTTCAATCATATGTCTATGTGGTAAAAATTATTTCCACTGCACAGATTTTTTTTCACAGGATTTTTCAAAATGTTCTCAGTTGTTTTGGCCTGTATGAGATGAGATATGGGTTAATCCTTCCATGCTTTCATTTATTTTAGAGTTCCTAGTACCAATGAATATTAGGATATTGCTTATCATCTTAAATTTTCCTCTAATTCCCTCTTTGTAGACGATTTGACTCTCAGACACACTGCAGAATATTTGACTAGAAAAAGAATCCAAGCATCCAATCACTCACCATGCTTACACTCCAGAGTCATCAAACTTTATAGTTTTTATAAATAATAAAGTCCTACCTCTCTCAAAATCCAGGGGGAAAAAAAAAAATCTTACAGTTACACCCTCCTCCTCACTTTCAAATATCTGGTAGCTAGAACCCAAACCATCTAGTTCAGAACTACATAGCATCAAAATGGAACTTGTGTGCTTCCTGCTGCTTTTCCCGCTTGTCCTGCTGCTTCTCCCTGCGGTGGAGAATGCCAATGATTGCAGCAACAAAGAGGCAGGTGCCAATGAGCGCCCCAGCTGTCATGAGCATAGCCTTACTCGGGGTGATGAACAATTTGCTCACCCACTGGTCAGGGTGTTCCATGGGGTATGGGATCACAATCAGTTGCGAGTTGGGGATAATCTGCGTAAAGCTACTGGTGAGCGTGTCAGAGTAGTTTCCTTTGGGGATGCCAACATCCAGGACTTCCACAAAGTTCCAATTCCGTCCAAGTCCGAAGATGGTATAGGGCAACTGGAGCACACTGTGGGCTGTCTGCGAGAGCTGTGTTGCCCTAGAACACTGAGTTCCTCCTTTGGCAGTTGTAATGGAGTACCTGATGGAAGGGCCTGGCTGGTTTGTCCCATATGGAACAGTCTGCAATTTACATATTTCACCATAACATCCACCAATCAGCACCTGTTGAGGAGATATTCAAACATCACATATAAGGAAATGTTAAAAGAATTAAGTTATGAAATACTAACAATTACACTGAATAACTTGATTAGATACAGTATCTAGTTAAGAAATATCAGTAATAGTGTAATATGTTGTCTTCAGAGTATGTTCACATGCTATACTACATCATTTTTATCATCATGATTTAACAGTTGCATTTGAAATCATTGATATGAATTTGTATTTGTAACAAAGCAATGAATAAGAACTAATAATAATAATACAAAGAATGGGAATATGCATAAAAAAAGAAACCGCAATCTACTCTAACCTTCACAAACACAGCGTCATACTCCACAGAATCCTTGTAGACATTCATATGATATTTCCCATCATCTGTCTTCTGTACCAAAAGAACATCAAGGGTACCATCCTCCTGGAAATCACAGAAGGTCCCTAACACTGTTTCCCCAAAAGCTTTGAAGAGGTTCCACTGATTTACAAATTTCCGTTGATACTGGCACGATGAATCATCGCATTCGGTATTTTCCATCAAGATCACTCGGGGTTTTAGGGATGCATCGACCAGGGTAACTAAGAAGTCTGGGTAGCCATCCAAATTGAAATCGCCGACACGCAGAGTTACCGTGTCTAAAAACCTATAGCCTGTAGAGGCAAAGGGAAATGCCCACATTGTGCCATCATCCTCAACAAAGTCAACATCAAGGAAATTCCATAATGATTTCCTGAAATCATACACAGCCAAGTAGCTTTTCTTGCAATTTGCATCATGGCAAACTGGGATTATGGCTTCAATATTTCCATCCAAGTTCACATCAGCAAAGGCTGTCTGGCCAACATGTTGCAAGCCCTCTGGGATAGTAATTGTCTTATTCAAACTGTACTTCCCATCAATGGATGACCAGATTTCAAACTGTCCCTCTGCAGTGATCCAGAGATCAGCTGCTAGATCACTGTCTAAATCAATAAAGGCATGAGAACTTGGAAGGTTTAGAGGCGGTAGTGGTTTAAGATCTGGAGCAACCATTGGCTCTGGTCTGGGGGGACCCTTAGGCCCAAAGATCCAGAACGTCCGGGTGCCATTCTCATCTTCACCGAATAGGTCAGGAATCATATCACCATTCACGTCCATTACCAGTGGCTGGCTCTTCAGTCTCATCAGTGGTTTATCCTCCAAAGTACAGCTGAGGGTCATGTTCTTTTGATTCCCCCATAGGACGTACACCTCGTACAGGCGACTGTCTTTGTTGAATGGAACCAGGAGTAGGTCCATGGCTCCATTCCCATCAAAGTCACCCGGGACTATGCTCTTTATCCAGAGTTTCTCAAATGTGCATGAAAGTCCTTGGTCTGACTCACGTAGTAGAGGAGCTTCAAGATTGGATATCAGAACTTTAACTGTCTTCAAATCTTCTGTTAGGACAATCATGTCTGTGTGCTTGTCTGAGTTAAAGTCTCCAAAAGCAGCTGGCATATAATTAGCTGTTTTACCAAACACTAAGTCTGTTATGTTGACTCCATATACCTGAGTCTGACACAATAAAATCAACACACAAAACAATGCTTGGGGTGAAGTTTTCATTTTGAAAGATTATGTTATAACCAGAATAACAATATCAAATTAAAACAAGTCTTTCACACACAACTATAACTTTCTTTAATTCCCCAACATTCAAAAAAAAAAAATTAAGAGAAAGTTTTGTGGATGAAACCGATGCTGTTTTCCTCTTCAACAATCCTGTGAAAGAAACAGGATATCAAAATCATATTAAATGCAATCTATGTACATTTCTTTTGTAAAATACATAGTTAT